GAGTTTAGGGGTTTGGCGTTTAGGGTTTATAGGGGTTCAGGGTTTGGGTTTCGGGTGCAAGTAGTCCTTATTTGTGTGTTTTTGGACTCGTCGAGAAACCCCGTATAGAACATGTAAGCAACCTTTGCAAGATTTCACAGAAGAGCTCCAACCAAAGAAAGCCCTGCTCTTGCAAAATCCAACTTCCTAGGCTACGAAACCTCCTTCCAAGCCCAGAAGCGCAAACAAAACCTCAGGAAAGCCTGGATGGCTTGACGGGGTTCAAGGCGTTCCGGATCATCCGAATCACGCGAATCCTCAAGACGGCTCGACTGATGAGGACCTCACTTTGTTTGGACTTGCACCTTGTTGTTTTTGCTTGTGCGATTCGGGTCTGCATTCTGGAAGCTTGGAACCAAAGTCGAACAAGAAATCGAGGGTGCGGAGTTCGTGCCAGCATTCTGTCCCTCCGAAAGTGCCCATGGTAGCCTCGTGTCCTTTTCGGTGAAATCCCGTGTTAGTGTCTAGGAGCACAATTCAGGGTGGTAATTTTCATGAGTCCAGTGAGTTCAACACCGGCTGGGCCTAAATGAAAGAAAGCCTGGCTGTGAATGCAGAATCTCTGCTGCGCGACATGGGGTGATCAGAATTTTTGCTAGATGTCGTGGCAACATCATGTGACATGTTTGCCAAACATCAAGAGGCCCAATTCGTGACAAGGCATTAACTCTCAGGGAAGATGGGGTTTAACAAAGGTGCTGAACTTATCGGGAACGAAGGTGTTGAGTTCAACACCGGTGTTGAACTTACCGGGCAATAGAACAGCAGGAAAGACACAATCCCGATTAAAAAAGTTTACTTCAACACTGGTCCCGGTGTTGAACTTTTGGGCCATAAATCTCAGCCAATTTTTCTGCATGGGATTTGCCCGGGAAGATTGCCCGATAAGTTCACCACGAACTCAACCCTCTTCACCGGGATGAAGTATTTTCCGATGCCAGGTTTATGACCAGGGCTTGTTCGGAGGCCTTGGGCTCTGGTCTAAAGAGCTCTAAGCTCCAAGTTGCTCTAGGTTGTATTTTGCTGGGATGCTCCTTTTGCTTTGAACCTGTGTTTCGGGCATCTGACTTCTCGAAGGATCTTCCGATTTGTTTTGGCACTGCGGACCTTGATCACATCAATCACTCACACGCTCAAGTCTCCCAGCTGCCATCTGGCGTTCGTCGCATTGATGCTCATGACTTGCAAGCCTTTCTCTGCAGGCAGATTTTAGGGCATGGCTGTCTCGGACAATAGACTACACCTCGCTTGATGCTTGGAAAATTAGAACTTCCGAGCTAGAAGCCTTCATGCAACTGTTCAAGCAGATGTCGGTAAGCGTCCATCCAAGCATGTGCCTGTACGCCGTTCAGTACATGCTCACATGTGCCTACGTCCATCAATTCCGCTGCCAATGTCATGACAGTTCTGCTAAGTGCTTTCGTGGGTCGGAAGCATGCAGTCCTTCCACACGCAGTCCCTTCCGATCAAGAGAGGAAATGAGACCTCAAGGCACAGCCGAAGTTATCGCACAATCTATACCCGAGGTCCAATCTTATGGAGATGTTTGATGTCACCGAAACCCAAAACGTCTAAAGACCCTATAGCCCTAGACACAGGGCAATCCAGGGGGTTTCGGGCGAAGCTTGGCGCAAGGTCTTTGATTTGGGCGCTGATCCTACTGGCCTTGATCATGTCGCTGGGATGTGTTTTTTTCTGACGATTCGAGTTTAGGGTTTAGGATTGGTGTGGTCGCAGGTTTTTGGAGTTTCGGGTATGTAGCTGGTCTTGACTGTCCTAGACCGCCGTGAAGTTCAGCCTGCAGTAGACCTTAAGCCCTGAACAGTAGAGCGCCTCAGTCTGTTGCTCAACATTTGTGATATTTTGGGATTGAAAGGTGCAGGGTTGAGGTGCAAGCTAATTCGGCAGCTGAAATTAACAAAGGAAGTCGGCAAGCCTACGACAAGGCTCACTATAAGGGTTAAGAGCCATGCCGCACAGTATTATTTGGAATGTGCGCACGCCTAAGGTGCCTCCTGCTGTTGGGGTTGCCCAACCCCGTGCAAGTATCGTAGACATAGTCTATAACCCACCTGTCTTGCGGTTTCAGGACCCCGTGTGAATCGCAGAATCTCAGCAGACAAATGTGTGCGAAGCTCGAATGAGCATGTGTACCCGGCAGGAGGTTATGGTATTGTGGATATGATTCTATATGTCTGTGATGTTTTATCATGTTCCTCACCAATGTTATAGGCCCACATGGACCCCTTTAATTACAACAACGAGAAGTTGTTCTGCTGCTGTCGTTTTCAAGCTAAGTGCCGGGGATGAGTTGCACCTGCACATTATGTCCATGCTCAAGACCGGGGCAGCTGTGTGCAAATGTTGACCATTGCAGATCCGCCAAGTCCAAGGATCAAGAAAAGGGTCTTGAGTAGGGGGGGGGGGGCAGTCGGCACGTTATCGCTTAGTGAACGTCTACATATCATGAGTAGAATCTACAGGATAACCTTGGGCCTTGCATCACAAAAAGCTAACCAGTGGGTTTAGCATAATCTACAAGATCTACTGTAGATTCTACTCCCGAATCCTGTCGAGTTTTCATGTTTGTAGTTAGTAAGCACTATAGAGAACAATTCGGAATGCAGACGTATGGGGATGCCGATAGCCGAGGCACGCAGACTTCCCCAAAAAGCAGCAGAGCCTGAACTTCGCACCTCGTAAGCCCCAAGGCCCGAACGAACTCCAACTCCCATCCTTAATCTTTCTGGTTTCGTATATGATGTGTGTGTTATCCTAACGGTAAACCCCAAGACCATAAACCCTAAAGACCCTACAGGTACATCTTCGCGCTCATGTTCGTGCAAGCTGTGCAGGGCTACCTCGCAGATCCCGAGAGCGCACCTATGTCGGATCCCTTTGCTGCTAAGAGCTGAGGGTAGGGTTTAGGGGTTTAGGGGTTTAGGGTTTAGGGGTTTATGGGAGCTGCTAGGGCTGCTTGCTCCAACTCCGGGCGAAGTGGAAAGCCTGTTGCAAAAGGGGTTTAGGGGTTTAGGGNNTTTAGGGTCTGGGCTTTAGGGTTTAGAGTTTAGGGTTGACGGAGTAGGGTTTAGGGTTTGGGCTCTAGAGGGTTTAGGCGGTAGGGTTTAGGGTTTAGGCTGTAGGGCTTGTATGTGCGATCTCTCGTCTAACCTCGAAGTAGAGACACTTTGCCTCTGTTGTTTTGATTCACTGTTTTTGTTCAGCTGCGGCTCGTTTGCCCACTCCATGAAACTGCTTTGAGTGTCTTATCTCATGTGAACTCAGCCAATCTTGTCATACAGGGTCCTGTTGAATTCCGGCATATACAGCGACTAGGCACTCGCACTCTAAAGTCAAGGCACGAACCCTCATCATTCTCTTAGTCAGTTCTCGAATCTGAAACCATCTGAAGTCTAGGCCCAAAAAACCTTAAACCCTAAACTCTATACCGTCTTTTTCCCTACAACCTGAATCCTCAAACCTCAGCCGAAGTCTCCACCCTAGGCTTCCCCCAAGGCGACTGAGGAGTCTTGCCAACATCCTACGAAGGAACATGGAGGTCTGGCAGTTGAGGCCCTCTCTAGTTCTCTTATAGGTGTAAGTACACTCAGAGCCAAAACCTTCTTCTAGCTATTGAGGCTCCCATGTTGGTCTAGTAGTGGGCAGGTTTCGGGGGGTTCTTCAGCTGAGATCTTCGAAACTGGTCTTGCATATTGTGCAGTGTGGGAGTTGTAGACTCTCTTGGACTGTCTAAACCCCAAACCCTGAACCCTAAACCCGAAATCCTGATTGTCAGGATGCTTTGCGGGAAGCTTCTACTGTCGTGGTTTTGGAGACCCACCTATTTGTGTCAGCCAAAGACCTTTCTGGCCTCGGGGTACGGCAGCCGGGTATAGCTGCGCAGCTGTTGGCAGGAGATGGAAGGTAGAGGTTGGGTTGGATGTTCAGGGCCAAGAGCTTAGGATTTAGGGCTTGGGGCGTAGTCCACGGAACAGCAATAATATGTCAGCTGAGGAATCCGACGAATATCGTGCCAACTCATACTTCGGCTCGCTCATCGAGACCATGCTCAGCTACTAAACTTTGCAAAGACACCCAAAGCCTGAAACCTGACTCCTTTCAACTCTTTCCCCAAGATGAAAAACTGACACCCAGCCCTCCTTAAGCTTTGCTTGAAACTTCTTCACCTTGCGCTTTTAGTAAGGAAGCTAGTCGTGAAATTGCGGACAACTCCAGGTACATCAATACAACGTTTAGGAGCCTGTTTATGGCCACGTGAACCGTCGAGTACTGTCTGAACCCTGAACCCCAAAACCTTCCAGCGACTTGAGGTCTTGGGCTACTTCCTTCGTTGAAGGCTTCCGGATTGTAGGTCGCAGGTGTAGATTTACCAACCTGAGGAGTTTAGGATTCAGGGTTTAAGGTGTCGGGGGTATCTCTATCTGGCGGTGTGTTTTGGTCTTTCGTGGTTCAACAAGATCTTGAGCAGCCCTGGCTCCGGTAATCTTTTTTGAGTCTCACTTCCAGGCATAAGGAAATTTCCTGGTTCAACGGGAGTTTAAGTTTAGGCTTGGGCCGGGATGTGGAAGATCTCGTTGAGTACACGTTCTGGGAATTTCGGTGAAGTTCCCAGGGCACGACCCCAAGGAAGGCTCCCAAGCCTCATCTTTCAGCCTGATGCTTGTCACCTACCCGTGAGCCTAATCTAACCCCCCAGGTACCTACTATATAGGGTACTAGAGCCCCTAGGGCCCTATATAGTAGGTACCTGGGAGGTTAGGGCTAATCCAGTGAGCTTTACATCAGATAGGCGCAACCCATCCCCTTCAAGCTGGAGGATCGGGTCTTTGAGGAAGTACTGGTCAAAAAACAGGGGCCGATGGCCTAGATAGCACCCCCGAATCAAGAGGAATATCCGCGACGCAAGCACCAGCTGAGACCCTTGAGTCCAACTTTTTCTGGGGACTTCACTGAAAGCGCCAGAGCTTCGGAATCGAAGACCCGGTGCCGAGGTTTGTTCATGTCCATCTCTGACGGCGTGAGTTGGGAGAATGTGATCTCACCCCTTCTCCACATCTCGCCGGCCGGGGTTCGGGCTCGGTTCAGAGGTTTTCTTCCAGCTGCCACGCATCACCGTAAATCCCAAAGGTCCTAAGTCACAGGTCTCTTGGATTTGGGAGGGGGGGGGGGTTCAGAGGTAAGCAGGATCCTTTGCTGGGAGGTTAGAGTTCTGTGATCAAATTCCGCTTAATTCGGGTTATGTTTAGGCTGTATGTACGCCACGAGGTTCATAAATTTGGACAGATCGTCACTTCCTGGCCTTGTTTGAAGGCTTGGGGGCTCAGTCGCAGGAGTTCGGGTTTAGTTTGGTTGCTGAGAGAAAGGCACGCGGGCTTCGGAATCTTGCGAGTCGGTGTTTGGGGGTTGGTCCTGATACCCCTAAACCCCAAACCCTAAACCGACGGGCCCTGCTCCTTCCTGCAGGCTTAAGGCCGCCAGTGCGACTGTCGGAAGAAGTAGTAGAGTATAGTATACCCATGGAGTCACGATTAGGGTCATATAAGAGCATATCTCAAACACCCTCTTTCCAAGTATTCTAAGTCTGAGGCCCTTCTCGTAAAGCCTAAACCCCTACAGATCCCTAAACCCTAAACTTTCCTAAACCCCCCCAGGTACCTACTATATGGCCCTAGGGGCTCTAGTACCCTATATAGTAGGTACCTGGGAGGTTAGGGTTTCCTAAACCCCGAAACCCCCTAAACTGGACCCAACAGCCTGGGAGGTTTGGGGGATCCTCTATACCTTCTATGTCTCGTCTCCCGGCCGAAGAGATTTTTTAGAGCTTCTGGGTTTAGGGTTTAGGGTTCAAGGTTTGGGGGTTGGGGTTTAGGGTTTAGGGTTTGGGGTTTAGGGTTTAGGGTTTATGGGTTTAGGGTCTATGGGTTTAGAGTTTAGGGTTTAGAGTTTAGGGGTTTAGGGCCAGAGCAAGGCCGCAAGCCTGCTGCGAGGCATTGAACCTCCAGCCCATCTTTAGTTTAGGGCTTGCGAGCTTCGGTTCGGGTGGAATTGAAGGCTCTTTCTAGAGCTTTCTAGCTTGACTTTGCTTGGGATAGCTTTGAGGTTTGAAGGCTGTAAGATCTCCGAGAATGGGGGTGGAGGGTTACTGGCTTAAGGACTTGTCTTTGGGGTTTCTGGACTCACTGAAACTTGAGGACCCTGCTTCAGGGTCAGGGTTTAGGGTGAGTGATGCTGGGGACCGGGCTGCTGTGTACGAGG